AGATAGATAGATAGATAGATAGATAGATAGATAGATAGATAGATAGATAGATAGATAGATATAGATAGGTAGGTACTGTTTAAACAGTAAAAAAAAATCCTGTGAACTGATCTAATCTTGCAAGATTTTGTTCAAACTTCTTAAGAACTGTTGGCTGATGTTGAATTTATATCTCATCTTTCCTCCAGAAACTCAAGGCCACATCAATAGCACTCTTTTTCTGAGTTTTCCCTACAGCAAAAAACTCTGTTAGATTGATTGAAAGAGAGCGACTGACTTAAAATAATTTAGTGGAACCCTGAATCATTCCAGTTCTATTCCAACATTTTAACAATATTCTTCACGGAAATACCAAAATCTTATAAGATTTTGAACAGGATTTCCTCCATTGAAAGAAAATAACTGTAGTTGATGGCATAATTTATTTTATTTTTATTTATTGAATTTATATTGTTGCCTATTTGCCCATGGTGACTCAAGGCGGCTTGCAGAATATACTGTAAAACAACATTTAAAACAATAAAAAATTAACAAAAAGAATGAAATAAATTAATATAATACAATATAACAAACTCACTCCTCAACTCCCACCCACCCCTGCCCCAGTGACAGCGGATCACAGAAGCCATCTCATGGGCTCCATCCCGCTCTGGGTTCTGCAAGCCCGCTGGCAGAACCAGGTCTTCAGCACCTTCCAAAAGAGTGAGGGCCAGTCTAATCTCTGGGGGAATGATGTTCTAGAGAGAGGAAGCCACCACCAAGAAGGCCCTTCTTCTGGGTTATAATGATATGCTTAAGAGAACAATTTGGGCACCTTTGGTTTAAGCCAAGTCAAAATTGAAATAGGCCAACATTACTATTTAATGTGTTGTACGGTACTAGATTTTTCATGGGCTGGATATGTCTTGTCTCAGTCCACACATTCACAAACATCCACAGAGGTGCTTGCAACCTTTACTGAGAAGCCTGTGAAGCAAATAAACAAGCAGCAAAGGAAACGTGAGTCCAAATGCATAGAAACCCACACGAAAACAAACTCCCCAAAGTCCAGCGAGTTTGCTCTGAGACAATTCCAACTCCTAAACAGCAGGCAAAAAAGAAGTCCAAGAGTCCAAACACTGTAGAAGTTATTCAGTTGGATTAAACTATGACCTTGGCTTGATCAGTTGTTTTCAGCATTGTAAGTATATCATGAAGAAAAAGAGATAAAAGCTATCTAAATACTTGCAGAAAGTCGTCACAGAGTTGATTCACTTTCTCTTATATCAGCTTGGGACAATGAGGTTAATATCATGACAACTGGATTTAATGAATTCCACAACAACTTTGTAGCAAGGGTGTGTCTTCCAAAACTCTCTCTCAAAGTGTAGAGAGTATCTGCATGCCTGACTATTAAACAAATTACCAAATTACCAGACCAAATTTTATGAGCATTTTTATTGAGTGAATCAAGCAGTCAATTGAATCCAGTTTCTCCTTTCGATTTTGCATGTTGGAAGTCAGCTGACAAGGTTGCAAATCATGATCATATGACCAGAGGATGCTGCAAATGTTGCTTAGTGCCCAAATGGTGATCAATTTGGTATGAAGGTTATCACTTTAAGGGCAGATTTTAAGTCAATTTTTTCAGTGCCATTGTCATTAAATGAATGGTCATAGGTCAAGGACTACCTGTACCTCTTATATATCATATTGTCAGGTCCAAGTCCAAAGATGACACAGTAGAATCCAATCGAGTCCAATCCTTTATTTGCTTACATCCTTTGGACAGAATCTTGCCAAGCTAAAGCTATAACTTTCCCACCTACTAGACTCATGATGGCGAACCTATGCCACGCATACCGGAAGTGGCATGCAGAGCCATTTCCCCTGGCACACGAGAGCTCACCTGGAAGAGCCCCAATGCACATGCGTGTGCAACGCCACCGCCTGACAGCTGATTGTCGGGTATCTGGCATGCATGCACAAGGGGAGACATAAGCGCATGCACAGAGATTCACAGTTCATGCTGGGGGTCACGGGTGCATGTGTAGAGGCGCGCGGCACATGGAGGGATTGTGGTAAGGTGATCGCGCACACAGGCACTGGGGGTGTGGGGGGGCTCAGCATGCATTGCCTTCTGGGTGCTGGCACACGAGCATGAGCACATGAGCATGCCACAATTATGGGCACGGGAGCCGAAAAAGGTTTGCCACCACTGTACTAGACATATCCTAAGAGATTTTAGAATGTGGCTATCCAGTACCACCTCCTCCCTTGCCCATTCAGCTGGGGACTGTGCAGTCCCTTCATTTGGGCCTCTCTCTGGGAAAGCTCTGTGTTACCAAAATTCTTCCTGTAAATGCACATTCCATCACACACAGCTCTCATTAACCTTGACAACTTTTAAGACGTGTGGACTTAAAACACTTTATTGGAGAATTAGCAAAAGTGCTCTGTTTGTTAATTTTAATTATCACAACCTTCTATTTCACTTGCACACTTACTCAAACCACTTTTCAGAGTTAGGGGATTGAGTCTAAGTCTGCCATCTATTGCCTACGCAGGAGGTCCATTTTGTTTTTGCATCAATCATTAAGCTACAAGCTTGTTGACTTGCTGGCTCCTCCAAAGAGAGTCACACTTGCTTGCTATAATGCATATCTCAGAGGACAGGAGGATCTTTCACAGCAAATATCCAGTGTGAAATGTATTTTTGTAGCTATTATTTGCTCAGTCTATATGATAACCCTGTGAAATGAGTGGTTAAAAACATGCTGAGAAAGAAACAAATTACTTTCTTGTGACATCTCATTTTTACAGCATCCAAGCTATATCTTGTCATAAATGTATGGTTGCCTTCATTCACCTTCTCCAGACAGCATTTCCCATTAGAGTTTACTTTCAGCCTAATATTATCTTGAAGGGCAAGGAAATGATGCTGAGTGTGGTAACATGGCTGAAAATAGTGGCACCTGGGGAAAAGTAAAGGTACCTGGACAGGGCACTTGTTATCTGTAGATACCTTCTTTCCCTACTTTTTAAAGGTAGATAACTAGAGCCAGGACTTAAATAAAATAATCATTTTAGCTGATGAACAGGTTTGGAAAGGAGAAGGGCATAACTGAAAGACTTCAAAAGACCTATTATTCCAGCCATTGTTTAATTATGGTAGAAGTAATTTAGGTTTAAATGACTTGGATAGAATAAGGGATTTCAGGCCGACATGTTTTGATAACTCTGCAGTGATGTCTGGAAAGGAAAAAGGGCAGAACTCTCTATTTTTATAAGTTTGAATGAAAATGACTCAAGGAAAGATATGATAATTTTTTGAAAAAAAAATGAGTGCTGAAGATAGCCACCATCAAACAACTTTTATTTTTCCTCAAATATAGAGTGTTCCTATTTGGAAACAAATGAATCTGTAATGCTGTAGCTGAATTGATTCTGGATGAGAGAAAAAAATGGAAATAGTATGCCATTTTTTGCCTTTCTGCACAAGATCTCCTTCACTTCATCTTCTTTCTCTTCTTCCTTCTCCGCCTTCTTTTGAAACTAATGCTAATGTGGAGATTCCATGTTTCCCAGATTTTTTGCTATGCTAGACTGATAGACCTTACAACCCAAGATAATGGAGAAAACTACAGTGGCCAATACATGCATACATACATACATACATACATACATACATACATACATACATAGTTAGGATTTTGCTTTGACTCACATATAGCCATGGGGATGGGGCTTCTATTCAATCTATTCTACTCAATCATGATCTGATTCAAAAACCTCTAAGTGTCAGCCTTGATTTATTATTCCATAGGTTTGTCTATTGCAAATGTCAGTACCATAGCTATGCCAAGACTGTTT